CTTAACTCCGCCACGTACGACGAACTACGAGGGGCGGTAACGCCGGCGGGCCGATGCCGCGCAGGGCTCTCCGTCTCTCTCGCACCCCGGGGAAGGCGGCCGTGCCGGCGAAGCGCCCTCCGCACCAGCAGACTGATTCCGAGAGTCGTTTTCGTCGCTCTGCCTCCCTCGCACCCATACGGCACGCCCCATGAGTGCGAGAGAGACAGAGCGACGAAAACGACTCTCGGAATCAGTCTGCAGGCCGCGCGCCGCATTCGCACCACGTTCGCAGTGTGGTGTATCGTGGAGTGGAGCCGCGCAGGGCCGTGCAGGGCCTTGTGTAGGCGGCGGCCCCATACTTCAGCCCACCCTACACGCACTCCGCACCGCGCGCCACGCAAGGGGATACGCTGTAGCACCGCCACGTCGGGGTGCTGGGGGCGTTAGGCACCCCATGTCTCACGGCAAAGCGCGGCAAAGCGCAGCAGAACGCCGCGCCCACGCCGACAAGCCCAGCGAAGACCTGCCGGCGGATTCCGTCGGCCTGTCTCTCTCGCACCTAAACGGGTCGCCCCATGAGTGCGAGCGAGAGCCCTCCCACTCGGAATCAGTCTGCTGGGCGCCAACAACGAAACGGAACGGCGTGGCGGCGAGGCGGCGAGGCGGCAGGCCTTCACTGTTATTCCTGGGTGTTCAATAACTAAGCGCCTTAAGGCGTTTGCCTCAAAAACCTAGACGCCTTGATGCGCTTAGTTACTCAACGCCTAAGGCGTTTAGTTACTCAACGCCTAAGGCGTTGAATTACAAGACACCTTTGCTTGGCCTGTACCCACCACAACAGCAGTGGGAGTACTAATGCAATACAAGCTGCCTCTTTCCATTGCCTCAAGGCGTCTAACTACTATACGCCTTCCAAGGCGTTTAACTGCTAGACACCTTGGAGGTGTGCAGAGGCTGAACAGCTTGACTGTCTTTGAATACAGCCATGCCATCCCTTGTTTGAGCCAAGGTGTTTAGCAGCTACGCACCTTTGAAGGTATCTTACCATTAAACGCCTTGCAAGGCGCGCAGCAGTTAAACACCTTGACACAATGGGCCAGGGCAGCCTGCACTGCTAATGTATGCATGGAGATTTGTCCATATTTTTCCATTTGTTTTAATAAGCTACACATACCTGTCAAAAATTAGTTTATGATGCTGAGTTGTCAATATCCAATTAAGGATGGAGACGGCTGTTGTCAATACGTGTGACCAAACCGCAGAATGTTTTTGTCACCGAATAGCAGTCATCACTTACTATTGTCCTAAAATTAACTTGAGTCTTATTGTTGGTTGCAAAGTAAATTAACACAAAGGCGGCAATATAAATTTGGCCTTGAAGGAAAGAAGCACAAATATAAGTCCTTTTCTCCATTGTGAAGAATCCACAATGGACCAGGCGCTGGTGAGGTTGGGCTGCCCCAGTAGATGGAGACATTTTCAGAGTTTAGAGGCGTGTCAACATATGTGACGCACTGTCACATCCCCTTCGTTCGATTCGATTCATGATTTCACTGCCACGAAGCGCTCAAATTCGTGTGCAACAGTCTAAAAACGAAATAAACCGAGCCAAGAAGCACACACGAACTCGCACGTAAACATTTGAGACGCAACAAAACAAAATGCTGCCAACCTATGAAATGAAAAGACAAGAACGAAAAAAAAACAGACGTTCTTTTCATTTCATAGGTTGGCAGCATTTTGTTTGTTGCGTCTCAAATGTTTACGTGCGAGTTCGTGTGTGCTTCTTGGCTCGGTTTATTTCGTTTTTAGACTGTTGCACACGAATTTGAGCGCTTCGTGGCAGTGAAATCATGAATCGAATCGAACGAAGGGGATGTGACAGTGCGTCACATATGTTGACACGCCTCTAAACTCTGAAAATGTCTCCATCTACTGGGGCAGCCCAACCTCACCAGCGCCTGGTCCATTGTGGATTCTTCACAATGGAGAAAAGGACTTATATTTGTGCTTCTTTCCTTCAAGGCCAAATTTATATTGCCGCCTTTGTGTTAATTTACTTTGCAACCAACAATAAGACTCAAGTTAATTTTAGGACAATAGTAAGTGATGACTGCTATTCGGTGACAAAAACATTCTGCGGTTTGGTCACACGTATTGACAACAGCCGTCTCCATCCTTAATTGGATATTGACAACTCAGCATCATAAACTAATTTTTGACAGGTATGTGTAGCTTATTAAAACAAATGGAAAAATATGGACAAATCTCCATGCATACATTAGCAGTGCAGGCTGCCCTGGCCCATTGTGTCAAGGTGTTTAACTGCTGCGCGCCTTGCAAGGCGTTTAATGGTAAGATACCTTCAAAGGTGCGTAGCTGCTAAACACCTTGGCTCAAACAAGGGATGGCATGGCTGTATTCAAAGACAGTCAAGCTGTTCAGCCTCTGCACACCTCCAAGGTGTCTAGCAGTTAAACGCCTTGGAAGGCGTATAGTAGTTAGACGCCTTGAGGCAATGGAAAGAGGCAGCTTGTATTGCATTAGTACTCCCACTGCTGTTGTGGTGGGTACAGGCCAAGCAAAGGTGTCTTGTAATTCAACGCCTTAGGCGTTGAGTAACTAAACGCCTTAGGCGTTGAGTAACTAAGCGCATCAAGGCGTCTAGGTTTTTGAGGCAAACGCCTTAAGGCGCTTAGTTATTGAACACCCAGGAATAACAGTGTTGGCCCTGTGCGGCGCGGCTGGCGCGGCCGGCCGGAGGTAACGAATGGCCTGACCTGGTCAAACCGAACACGGACCACTCGGGCGTGGCGGCGCTGGCGGCGCCGGCCGCGTCCGTGGCGGCGGCGCTCTCTGTCGGGCCTTCCCCGGCGCCGCGGGGGAGCGACGAGGACGGCGATACCCCACGTCCGTCGTCCGGCCAGGCGGCAGGACTGCTCTCATCGCGCTGTCTCTCTCGCACTCGAAGGGCGTCCCGTGAGGGAGCGAGAGAGAGAGAGAGCGTCGAGAGCAGTGCTCGCGGAATCAGCCTGCAGGCCGTGTCGTGGCCGCCAGACACAGCACCGCGAGCACCGCGTGGCTATTTCGGAGCGGGAAGCGCCTTCCAGCAGCGCATCGTCCCATCTCGCGACCGCCCCGCCCCGCCCCGCCCCGCCCCACTACCACCTGCCGCGAAGCGACGACTGCAATTTCAGATTCGCCCCGACGCTTGAACCTCCTTGAACCGCCGTAACAGGAACAGGACCTCCCCGGCGTGGCCCCCCGCCACTGCTGCGCCACCCACCATTCTTCCGGTAGCGCACACCACGCCCCCGCGGAGCGTGACCCACAGTGTGGGTCCCACACCGACACAGTGCCCTGCCGGCCCTGCCCCGGTGCAACGAGCAACGTGCAGCCCCGCCACGTCGTCGGCGTCGTCGCCAAGCGTGGCGCTCCGGGGCCAGGTCAGCGCCCCCGTCGCCGGCCAGACCGCCAGTCAGCCCGGCACCGGCGTCGACCGCTCAGGGGCGGATCCGGGCGGAACCCCGGCACGGCCCCGAAGGGGTTGTTCTCGAGGGGGTGGGGCGGCAGGGCCGACGGCAAGGTGCAGCGCCCGCGCCGCGCACCGAGGCGTGCCGAAGTTGCTATTGGCGCGCGGCGGAAAAGCGCGGTGGCGGCGGAGGGCGAGTATCCATTAAACTCGTTCGAGGGGCCGCCCGCGCCGGCCGAGGCGGAGAGCAGTAGCACTCCACTCCAGCCAGTTCGCGGCGCCGCCGCCACGCCAACCAGGGCGGCCGAGGGGTCGGAGTTCACGCGAGGAGGTCAACACGGCGTCTGTCGAAACTTTACCTGCCCCGGGGAAGGGCAGTGTCACGCCACTCAACGCGGCAGACGTACAGAGCGACGAACAGACGGAAGGACGGACATCGGGACGGCCAGACCGACGGACCCCGAGACAGCAGTGACCATGACGCTACACCCAGCAGACTGATTCCGAGGGTCGCTTTCGTCGCTCTGTCTCTCTCGCACCCATGGGGCGTCCCGTACAGGTGCGAGACAGACGGTGCGACGAAAACGACTCTCGGAATCAGTCTGCAGGTCCTCGGTTATACCGCCAGCACCGCGCCCCTCTTCCCTCGTCCCCCTCTACCTCACTCTCTCTCTGCCGCTTTGACCCCGCGCGTCTTTTCGCTTTAGTTACAAATGCATGAGATCGATTTTCCCGCGCAGCCCCGTCGCCGCACCGCGCCGCCGGTCGTTTTGAGTGACAGCCGCCTGGCCGCGGGCGGCGGCAGCGCAGCGCAGCGCGCCGAGCAAAAAGCAGAAACCCGACAAAAAGACAACAGACAGGTTTCGCGCGGCCGGAGGTGGCGGTCGCGGTCAGCCAAGAGTCGGGAAGGGTTGGCGAGCGCGGCGCGGCGTGCAGTGCAGTCACCGCGCAGTCCGGCAGAGGGGTCGCTTCCTCGGCCACCCCTTTCCCCCGAGCGTGGGTGGACTTGGTCAGACTGGGCAGACTGATTCCGAGAGTCGTTTGCGTCGCTCTGTCTCTCCCCTACCTGCCCGGTACGCCCTTAGAGTCCGAGAGGAACAGAGCTACGAAAACGACTCTCGGAATCGGTCTGCTGGAACGGATTGCCGGATTAAACAGTCACGACCCCTCAAGGAACGCGTCGGGGCGGCGAATCGGACGCGAGCCCGCCCCAACACGAACAGGGCCGAGAGCCTGGCCACAACGCCGCGAGGCAACGGCCGCCCTGCATGTTTCACGCCCTCACTGCGAGTGGGACGCCTCAGTCTCTCTCTCTCGCACACATGGGATGTCCCGTGTGCCCGCTTCAGGCCGACGACTGTTACGGGTAAGTGGTAGCGGACTCGCCGCTGCCAGCGACACTTGCTGACGCTGCGACTCGCGGTGCAGGCCAAAGTCGGGCCGCCCTAACACGACGACGGGGACACCCTTCTTTCCGAATCAACCTGCCGTCCCTACCTCTACCAAGAACGCGGGACGAAAGCCTTCGTCGGTGTAATCGACTCACCTCTCGAGTTGGGGTGGTTCATGAGGATGGCGAGCGGGCACTCGTCGTCGTCCAGGATGTACTCGCGGTTGTTGGTGCCGCCGTGGTACTCCTTGCTGTCGTTGGTGGACTCGGGGATGTTGGTGTTGACCTGCACCAGGCAGTACACGTGCGGGTCCTCGCGGTCCAGCCCGTACTTGGCCAGCATCTCGCGCACCACCTGCGCGGCCGAGTCGCCGATGGACAGCAGCAGCGTCTTGTAGGGCACGTCCTTGCACAGCGCCTCGCCGTAGATCTTGAGGGTGCCGCCCGTGTCCGGGCCGCCGTCCTTGCTGCGGAACTGCTGCAGCTTCTTCTCCAGCTTCTGCTGCCGCCGCCGCCTCATCACCGCCTCGGGGTTGGAGATGGACCGCGTGAAGCTCGTCTCGGGCAGCTCTGCCAAAGAGCGAAACGGTGCAGGTGTTACCCAGCTGCGCAGTGGACCAGAGGACCGGCGCATGCGGCCAAGGCGCGCTTGAAGCTCCAGAGTTGCTAAACAGGACTCGAACCGAGCGTGTGACCCCACCAATGGATTCCTCGTTCGGAGAGCAACACGTTCGGTTCGAGTCCCATTTAGCGTCTCTCTGGAGCTCTGATCCCGTCCGGGCCGGGATTGTGATCGCATCCACAGGTCTTCCGGCCCCTAGTGCGCCGAGTAAAAAGATGATTTCGTCGATACCCCACGCGCAATGAAAGGGAACATCGAACGGAGGGTAACGTCGGGACGGTATAGTACACATGAAATTGAAATAGCAGATGAAGCGTAGTGCTTCGTGAGCCACAAACCACAGATATCGACAGGTGAATGGATTCTGATTCGATACGGATTCTGCAATTTCACTTTCCAGCGTATATACTCACGCCACCAACTCACCTGTGTACAGCTTGCCGGCCACGCCAGCGGGGTTTTCCTCGTTTTCGTTGTTCTTAATCCTGTTCTGCTTCTCCTGCTTCTTGAGCATCTTCTTCTCCCGCTTCGACAGTTTCCTCTTAAAGCTAGTGTTCTCCTCCTGGAACGTGTTGGCTGGCATCTGCAAAGCGGAAGCAGAAACACTCATTTAGACACACTCTCAGGTAATGTCAACGTAAACCACCAATCAAAACGGAGGGGTCTGCGCGACAGCGGCAAAAAGTCGCAGGCGACACATGTCATGTTTAGAAAGCGGAGAAGAGAAGCACTCACTTTTTGAAATGTGACACTGGCATTGGTCTTGTCGTTGATCCGCCGCAGCAGAAACCTGCCCTCCCGGTCATCCTTGTGCCAGTTGAGCTGCACCAGCAGGGGCTTCTCCTCCGTGCCGAGCCGCCGTTCATCTGCAACAGGGTGGAAAGCAAAAATTAAAATGCGTTTTACATTGATCGTCAGATGGCTTCAAGAGTCCAAGAAAGGTTGCTTGCGCTGTTATTCAACAAATGTAACGTTGAATTCGTCAGAATGTAAATTTCGACACGTTCATTTGAATTTTTTTGAACGAGGATCTACATTCAAACAAATGTGACATCATGTTCAAACGAACGTGACAAAATTCACAGTCTAACCAACATGACGAGTCACACTCGCAGAACAACAGTGCATCCGTGACGGGAGTCGACTCACCTCCATTCTCGTGGATCTCGTAGAGGGCGTACTCTGGCACGGACAGCATGCGCATGTCCGGCCGGAACTTTTCGATGAGCGTTTCTATGACGGCCTGCGACGTGGCGTCCGAGGCCACGCGGATGCACTTGGTGGCCACCTTCTGCCCGGAGTCTTGGAAGTAAAAGCGCATCACGCCGTGGAACTCGAGCTCCTGCAACACGAGAAAAGCGCGCGAGTCAGTGACAGTCCACGCACGGTGCGCACAGTGGGCCAGAAGACCGGCGGAGGCGGCCAAAACCCTGGACGCGTTTTGAGCTCCAGGGTCGCTAAAGAGGGCTCGAACCGAACGTGCGACCCCACCAAAGGATTGCTCTCCGAACGAGGAATCCATTGGTGGGGTCACACGTTTGGTTCGAGTCCTTTTCAGCGACTCTGGAGCTCAAAACTCGTCCAGAGTTTGGGCCAGTTTGGGCGGCCTCCACCGGTCTTCTGGCCCACTGTGGCACGGCCGGCGAGCGAGGCGAGGGAAGCTCCAGGGCCGGTACTCCACGCCCCCGGCCCGCGCCGCGCCATCAAAACAAACCAGCACGGCGTCGCCACCTAGCGGCCGCCGGCCGAACTACCAGCGCCCGCCCGCTGGCTGCCGCTGGCCCGCTCCCCGGCGCTGACCGAGTGGAGTATCTACCGCGCGGCAAATGCGACACTCTTTGGCCTCCAGCCTTGTGGGACGCATTCCAGCGAACTTGGTCGCAGCGCCGGGAGGTGGCGCTGGAGTCGCGTTTGCCGCGCCGCGCTACGCCACGGCTACGCTGCTACGCCTCTGGACCGTTACCGGGAGGGCCGGGCCGGGCAGGCAGGGCCGGGCAGGCAGGGCCAGCGCGGCCACGCCGCCACCGCTGGGGCCTTCGGGCCTTGGCTGGAGAGTCCCAGTCCCCAGTCCCACCTCGACACCGCCGGGGCCCCAGGCTGCCCCAGGCCGACTCGAAACGTGCCACCGTCACACCGTCCGGACGCCGCCAATTCCCGATCGCCACCGTGGCCCCGCCGCGGCCGCGGACACGCCAACGACCGGCCAGCGTCTTTCCGAGAGGCGGCGCGGCGCGCGGCGCCACCACTGTACTATCTCCCGGGAACAGTGACGGCGACACCGAGAGGGGGTGTGGCCGCGACGACAGGTCACCGCGTCGGGGGAAAGCAACGCAAGCGAAGCGCCTGCGCGTTCAGCTCGGCAACCGGAGTCCAATACTACGTTTACACGGGGGAGCTAGCCTCGGTCAACTCGAGGGGTGGGGGAGTGGAGGGGAGACACCACTCAGCCAGGGCTAGCAGACGTCGTGTTCACGCGGTGCCGGTGGAGCGTTGTTGGGGTGACTTTCTAACCTCAAGATAGCCTAAACAATTTCGAATTTAAGTCGAAATCAGGTCGAAATTTGCTTTACGCAATAGACAATGGATATTTTTATTCAGAAACAATCAGTTACAAGTGGTAAAAATCAAATCAATAAAAATTACATAAAATAGAATAAGTAAATTAATGATTTCGTACAACAGAAAACTGCTTCCCAAGTTTTTTCCAACGATTTCACAGGTGTATTCATAATAATAGAAAATAGATGGGCTTACAACACCTAAAAAACGCTGCACACACCTAACCTCACTTGACCCTGTGGTGTTTACATGTTGGAGTTAGCCTCGGTCAACGAGTTAGCCAGGGTAGCTCGAGGGGTCTAACTCGTTGACCCACCTACGTGTTCATGCGCGTGAGTTGACCCCGGCTAGCTCGAGACCTACCCCCTCCACTCCCCCACCCCTCGAGTTGACCGAGGCTAGCTCTCTCGTGTAAACGTAGTACAACCGACGAGCGGGACGTCCATCGGAACCGAGCCAAACGCTGTCAATTAAACGCAACTTTGTTGCAATCGGCCTGATTGGCGGCGGACAGCGCGCTCTTTCGTCCAGGACTCGACACACCGGCTGGCTGGCCGCGCCGCGGGCGAGGGGTCAGTTCCGTCCGACTGCCCCGTCGTCCGGTCAAACCGCGCCGCGCCGCGACGCCCCGCCACCCACCTGTTGCCGCCGTCGTGCCTACCCTTCTGCCTTGCGCAACACGCCAGCACGGCCAGCACGGCCAGCGGTACCCCCGCCCCGCCCACCGCACTCCACCCCGCGCATGCGCCGCGGCCTCCCAGCATCGCATCATCGGCCGGGTTGGCCCGCGAGGCGCGAGGCAGGGAAGTCCCCGCGAGGCGCGCATTCCAAGGGACCGGCACTAGAACGCCCCGCCCCGCCCCGCCCCGACGCTGCCATCGTGCCCCGCGCGTCGCTTGAGCAGCCACGTGCGACTGCGCGGCCCCACCCACGCCCCGCCACGCCCCGCCTTCGGGGCAACGTTAGACAAAATAAAGGACTCGCTCGCGCCGCGAGCCTCCATGCCATCAGCGTCGTCGCCCTCGTCGTCCAGCGAGCCGTTTTCACCGCCCTGCCTCTCTCGCACACCCATACGGGACTCCCCATGAGTGCGAGAGAGACAGAGCGACCGAGGCGACTCTCGACATCAGCCTGCAGGCCCTCGTCGCCGTCATCGCGGTCTTCCCTCTCCGACCCACGGCGGCCTGCACACGTTGACGACGACCATGTCGGCGTGCGTGAGGGACGCGGCGGACGCGCATCGTCGTCGCCGTGCAGCCTCAATGCGATGACCACTTCCGGTGGACGCGCCACGCTGGCCGCGCCGGCCGCTGCGGAAACGGAATAGAGAACGCAACGACGCGCACGAAGGGCGCACGCACGCGACAACGGCCGCCACTCTCTCCCTCACTCACACACCTTTGCGGCAACGCCGCATAACTTGAGACTAAACTCGGCCCAGCCCTGCGCGCCGCGCGACATTTGCAAAGCACAACTCAGCCTCTTTACGCGGGCCGGGCACTGCGGCCGGGCCCCAAGGCTGCAACGGGAATAATATACCACTCGCGCGCACAGGGCAATGGGCAAAACGCGTCGCTGACGTCGTCCGTCCCGAAGCACATTCCTCGTCGCGCACGACGAGGACGACGAGGGCCGAGAGGACGGCGACGAGGAGGGTGGAGAGGACGACGACGAGGACGACGAGGAGGGTGGAGAGGACGGTGACGAGGACGACGAGGGTGGAGAGGACGGTGACGAGGACGACGAGGACGGTGATGTGGACGACGAGGGCGGGGAGGACAACGACGAGGGCGAGAAGGACGACGAGGACAGCGGCGCGGAGGGCCGGGCGGGCTGGCCACCGCGGTGGGCTGCGGCGCACTCGACCACGACCACCTTCCCCAGGGCCGCCGGCCAGGGCTCCGAGTTATGGAAATTTGAAATGTCATGTCGACTGCAGCAAAGGATTGGTCTTGGGGGAGCGCGCGGTGGGGCGTGGCGGCGAGGCGCGTTGCACCAAGCGGGACAAGCAGGACGACGGCGGCGGCAGCGGCGGCGACGCCCACGGCGGGGCAGCCCGCCCGACCGCCACGCCCTGCGAGGACGCCGTCAGACTCCGGTGCACCCGGCCCGGCCCCACCGTCAGCCCATCAGGGATTCCACCAGAACCTAGCCGAACAAATAGGTCAACCCGGTGGGTACCCCCTCCTCCGCCGCCCAACCTCGGCGCGGCGCGCAGCCAGCGAGGCCTCGGCAGTCGGTACACCTCAAGGAGACGAGACGCCACCAGAAGGAACGTGACGCCGCCTTGGCACGCCTTGGCCAGCGCCGCGACGACGGCGAGAAGCGCTTCGCCTCGAACACCCCGCCTCCCCTCCCCTCCGCAATCCACAGCAGCGCCCACGGAATGACATCATCGACACCGCATCAGGAAGCGGCGACTGCAAGCAAGCCCGGTGACGACCGGCCGGCAAAAAAACAAGGAGGAAAAATGATCAGCGGCGTGTGAGTAGCAAGGAGCCGGGCCGAGTCACTGTCAGCGGATCGGACGGACGGGCGGACATGCCGCGGGGGCCCAACCCACGCAGCATGTGAGTCAGGGCACGGCACGCCGGCCGCGATGCCACGCGCCGCCGAATCAATGAATTCGTCCATTCATCACGCCGCCCTCACGAGCCAATGAATGAATGCACGAATGAATGAATGAATGAATGAGCGAATGAACGGGCGGGCAAGACGGCAAGGCAGGGCGGCACCGCCGTCCGTTCCGTCCATCTCGAGTGTAAGTGAGTCACGCCACGGCGCGCGCAGGAAGCTGGCGAAGCGGGCAGGCCTGCCACGCCAGTGCGCAAAGGGTTGCCTCCCACACGGACCCAAAACCATACGTAGCTGCCGCCTCCCTCCGAAGGGCCACTTCATCGCTCTGTCTCTCTCGCACTCATGGGGCGACCCGTCGGGCTCGTAGGGGAACGAGCGAGACAGAGCGACGAAACGATCTTTTGGAATCAGGTGGTTAGGTATGACGTGCCGCTGGCCAGGAGTACTGTAACGCACGCGAGACTGTCACCCGGGCACCGGCCTCACAGCCAGCATGGGCGACGGCCGCATAGTGGGCCAGACGATCGATGGAGGCGGACGCATTTTGAGCTCTAGAGTCACTGAATGGAACTCGAACTGCACGTGTGACCCTACCAATGGATCGCTCTCTGCACGAGGAATCTGTTGGTGGGGCTTGAGTCCTTTTTGGCGACTCTGGAGCTCAAAACGCGTCTAGAGTTTCGGCCGCGCCGCGGCCCCAGGCGGCCCCGCAGGTAGCCCTGTCGCCGGGGCTGCCTACCCAAAGGGGTCCGGAAAACATTTCACAGCACACCACACCCAGCTTCCTCCTGACCCGCAAACCCCGTCCGCCAATCCCTTCTTCTATTTATAGACAGTACTTCCCTGTTGGAATGCTGGATGCAACCTTGTGCAACCTACCCGAGGTGCTGTACAATTATGTCGCCAGGCCTCGATACATAGTGAGCATGGCGCCGGCCGGCCTGCGCGGCCCGCTGTGCAAACCGGCGCGAGCCCAACTGTGTCAATGGCGCGGTGGCCAAAATGCTTGTGGCAGGCCGCGCATCCAGCGAACAAGGAGACCACGAGAGGCAGTCGACGATACACCCCAGCCAGGCAAGGTTGGCCAGTCCCTGTGATCAAGGTTCAAGGAGTTACCACCAGCTCCAGTGTAGCGCGTAAGTAAACTACAGTAGTTGAAGAAGACACACTAGAAAGCAAGAAGTGCTTGGTCTCTTTATAAACGTCCCGCTGTCTCAGACACATTACTAGAACGTATGCAAGTTCCCTAACCAACACACTCTCCGGTGGGTGTAACGCGGGCACAGTGCGCCCGCAGACGGAAATCTAAACGCGTTTTGATCTTCAGAATCGCTAAAAAGGACTCGAACCCAGCGTGTGACCCCACCAATGGATTCCTCGTTTGGAGAGCAATCCATTGGTGGGGTCACACGCTCGCCCGAGTCCTGTTCAGCGACTCTGGAGCTCAAAACGCGTCTGGGATTTTGACCGCCTGCTCCCGTCTTTGGGCCATGGCACTGTGGCGGGGTCGAGGGCGGGGCCGGGGCCCCACGGGGGGCTTGCTGGCGCGTGCCGAGCAGGACCAGCCTTTCCGCGCGACGGGCCTAACAGGGCCCAGGCGTTTCCGGCCGCGCATCACATGGACGAGCAGACAGACAGACAGGCAGACAGACACAAGGCGAGCCAGTGTGGTGTGCACGGTGCACGCTCCATGCAACTTGCGCCGGACAAACAAGCCGGCTGTACATACCCTTTCGAAATAAGGGGGAAATGACACACACGGCTCTGCCACGGAAACGCGCGTGCGAGTGGCGGGGTGAGGTGAGGCGGGGTGAGGTGAGGCGGGGTGGGGTGAGGCGGGGCACCGCCAGGTCCACACTCTCGACGGAGAGGAAGGGAAACTGGAGGCGCCAGTCAATAAAAACGAGGTGCGCGGAGTGTCAGAAGGAAAGCGAGCTGGGACGGACGGACAAACGGACAGACAGACGGACGATCTGACTCCCGAATGAGAGCAAAGCCATAAAACGGCCCTCAACACGTAGTAAGTCCCGCGGCCTTTCCATCCCGCACGCTGCCGCACGCCAGCTAGCGCTGTAGCTCGCGAGCCTCGGAGTCACTCGCGCCAGTCCATCTGCCCGCCTTACTGAGAAGCAGCGAGCGGCTTTTGTGGTTCGGAAGCAACGAGCTGAGAACGACCCGCGCGACGCGGCACACGACCGCAGGCTTGTTAAAAAACGGCCGTAAAAAAATTAAGTGAAGCACTCCAATTTCCACTCACTCGTATACAGTGCGGTAGCTGGCGCAGCACCCGGCCCGCGGATCCGAAACTAGAACGGCGGCACGCGGTTCGAGTCCACGGCGTCCGCGGCCTACCCCGACCCCGTTGCCGAGGGCCACGCCGCCGCCCCCGCGGCACGCGTCGCGCTAAGGTATTCCGCGGCACGGTCGAGACGCCGTGACGGTCGCGTAAAGGACGAAGCGCCGCCACTGTGTTCCCCGCCAAATGCACCCGCACTCTTCAAGTGACTCATACCCAATGCCTGTACTGAGATACAACGCGACACCAGTCTGCGAACAACCTTCTGGCCGCTAGCATCTACCTCTCACCGCTCTCTGTGTTCGACTCCGCTACGACGAGGACTTAGAAGGTACCATGTTATGACGCCAAAACTGCAAAAATCTGCTGCAGCCGAAGTTCACTCGCTAGCCGTTGCCGGACGCTCCAGATGTCCGAGACGCAACGCGGAGCCAACATGCGCCAAGACATGCGCAACCATGAGCATTTCGAATCTTTCGACCCAACGGGTGGACGGAAATGGTCCATCTACTGCCAGCGTTTCGTCGCGCACTGCGCCACCAAGAACCTGACCAAGGACGCGGAGATGAAGGCGGAGTTCATCGCGAGCTGCAGCGACTACATGATCGAGTGGACGGAACGCCAGTGCTGGATGAAGCTAGCAAACACTAGCCTCACGTTTGCCGACATCAAGGAGGCCATCGAGAACCACGGCAAGCCCAGGTGGGAGATTCGAGCGGCATCAAAGTTCCATGGTAGAAACCAGCAGCGGAAGGAATCTGTCCATGATTTTGTTTCGGCATTGCGTTCCCTGGCGCGAGAATGCAATTTCGGTGCGGCCCACGACCGCATGCTGAGGGACCGCATCGTGTTGGGCATACGGTGCGATCGCACTAGGGAATTGCTGTTCAACTTGCCGAAAGATCAATGCACTGTGGAAAATGTGGTCACCATTGCCTACAACACAGAGAGAGTGAAGTGCCAGGAATGGGGAGGCTTTGGTTTTGCTTCGGTGTGTTCTTTTTGTTGGAGTGTGGGCACAGTTTTCTACGATTTTATATATTTTTGTATCATTTTAATTGGTTGGTCTATTTTTATACTTTTGGTAATTTTATTTGGTATTCCGTACGCTCTCCTGATAGAATTAGGCATTCTCGGGTGAAATGAGTGGCAAAAACATGCAGTTAGCAGACGGACCCGCGTGGCTCCAGCCTGACGATTCATATGGAAGGATTGTAATGTCATGTCCTGTGTCTTGCCGACGCTCATTCGCAGAGGTGCGCCTCGAGCGGCCCCTGTACCCCTCCATGTACTACAACTAGTCTAAAATAAACGCCCATGAACCGCTGACATCGAGTCTTGTTGCTCTCCAAGTCACACTAACTTCAAGAGAGCTTTCCACGTAAAGCGCCTTTCCCTTGTCCTCCCCACACTGAAAATTTTAGTCGTCACTTGATGACAATTTCAAGGCTAGTTTTCCTCACTACAAGGATGTCATCAAAACAATTCATGACATTGTTGTCACGCCCATGCAATCAGTATATAGGAACTTTGATGAAAATGTCATCAATTTGTGATGAGATAGTCATCATTTGAAAGTGATGAAAATACCATCCACGATTTTGTCATCAAGTGACAACAAATTTTCACAGTGCACGCCCAACCAAAGCGCGCGCGACGCTGGCTCAACAAGTGCCTCGACAAGCAGACGACCCGCGAAGAAGAGGCTGGTTCGGCCGGGCACTGCCGCGACTGCAAAGCGAGGGGTACCTCACTTCGTCTAGTCAGTGTACACCCCTGACTCCAGTCACTGCCTTGTTTCAGTCTAGTCACTGAAAAAGTCAGCAAAACCACGTAATTTTTAGTATTTTTGCAACGCATTTCGTGATATTTTCAGTCTAGTCAAAGTGGAAATTGAGTATAGTCACCAGTCAGTGTACACCTGTTTTCGAAGTGAGGTACCCCTCGCTGCAAAGGCCCGGCCACCCGTTCGTCACAGTCACAGTGCGGCTCGGCACTGCCGCCGCGTCCGGAGTCCCGGAGTCGCTCCCCGGAGCTGCCCCGGTCGGCAAGGCTCGGCAGCGGGTCAAGGCGAAGCCGGCCGAAGCGGGCCGCGGCCTATCCGAGCAGATCGCGGGGCCGCGCCACGGCTGCGCCACGGCTGCGCGGCGTCACGGTCGCAGTGGATGGAGTTAGCAGTGGGGCCGCACTGGGGCCGCAATCAAATCAGGCGGACACGACCCCGAGCAGACCATCGCTCACAGACTTAGCCCGGCCATAACGAACGAACGAGGAGACAAGCGGGATCGAACCGCGACAAAGCTCAAAGAGAAAAACCAGAGAAATTTTTAACACTAATTTTGCCGAGTCTTACACGCAATCAGGGTCAGGTTCTTTAAATTTTAAATTCTCATTTTTACATGCTTTCATTTTAATTATGCTTTTGCAGTACTGTATTTTTTAGTATCTTATAAAATTTGCTTCGCTAGTGTATGGCGCCGGTCGGAGGCGGTGGCGGCGCCGCGCGGCTCTGAGCCAATGTCGCGCGGGCTGGACCACGGCCGCCCTGTCGGACCAAAAGGGGTGGGGTTTCTTCCGACAGGTCCTCCCGGCTTAGCATTCTCCCATCATTGTTCGAAGGGAGAGAGAGAGTCGATAAAGCCTCGGCGTTTGGCAGCCGGCAGAGGTAGCGAAAGGCGTGGCGCCTAGTTGGACGGACCACATCGGGCCTCCATTGAAAGCTAATCTGATCGAGTCGCGAAAAAAAATCTGTCGAAAATGAAATGAGTACTTTTCTGCAGTCGTCTCAAGGACTTGACGCCTCAACCCCTTCCCACGAGCACCAACGTGCCTCTCGTCGCCAACACGTCAATCAATCCCCTTGTAGGACACAGTCACCTGAACATCAGTCACAAAAAAGTAACTTGTCACTACTCCACGCGCCAGAGATTCTCAACGCGAGACTGTTTGACGTGCTCAGTGCCAGAAAAGTAGGCAAAAAGGAGCCCGAACACTCAAGCATGCCGCGAGCTTCCTCCTCCAGCACACTGTAATTAGCATCTCCCGAGAATTGGTCGATATTTCTGAGAATACCAGGAAATTTTCCTTGGAATTCCTAGGAATTGCCCTTCATTCCTGGTCATCCCTGGAGATGGTTTCAACGTGCAGCAGGAGATACAGCCTGCCGCACCCCTACGAGTTCGGGCTCCTCTTGCCTACTTGTCTGGCAACAACACTGGTTATTGCCAGTGTCGTTTCTCCCGAGACCGACTGACGAACGCCGGAGGTCCCGGCAGACTCACCTCGTTGGGCTCGGAGAGCTCGAAGATGTCCAGGCGGTTGGCGTTCCATTGTTGGATCACGTGTCGCAAAGCCTCCCGGTCCGCTGCCTTCTTTGCGGCCGCATCCATCGCGCCTGCAGCAAAAACAACAACAACACATTTTCACTCCGAAAAACAACAACAACAACAACAACAACAATTCATCGCACCGGAGGCCAATCAATCACTCAATCGGCAATCACTCGGCGCTCTCGTTACTAATTACGACAGCAAAGGTCCCGAATGAAAAGAGAAAACGAACAGAGGCGGCCGGAAGAGCGGCTCGTCTAGCCTCGTCAGGCCCAGTCAGGCCTCGTCAGGCGGCCCCGGTTCATTTTGCAACTACTTCTCGGCGACACGGTGACGCAAGCCGGCCAAAGCAAGCGCCAGGCCGCCGGGCCCGACCGCCGGATAGTGCGGGGGCGTTTTGGGCGGCAGCGGTCTCATTAGCTCTGGCTTAGACCGCGGCGCAGTTTGCGGCCTCACTAGCGGGCTGATCATGCAAACTAAGCCTTCATCTCTCTCTCTCTCTCTCTCTCTCTCTCTCACTCTCTCACTCTCTCACTCTCTCACTCTCTCACTCTCTCACTCTCTCACTCTCTCTCTCACTCTCTCACTCTCTCACTCTCTCACTCTCTCACTCTCTCACTCTCTCACTCTCTCACTCTCTCACTCTCTCACTCTCTCACTCTCTCACTCTCTCACTCTCTCACTCTCTCACTCTCTCACTCTCTCACTCTCTCACTCTCTCACTCTCTCTCTCTCCCCCTCCTGCTCTCTCCCCTCTCCCTGCTCTCTCGCCAGCATGGCTAAATTGTGTCAAAATGCACATTTTAAAGGTACTTACAGTATTTTTTTTCAATCCCCGCTGATAAGCCATTTTATAAACTAAACTCTCTCTCTTTTCCGCTTACGACCGCAGTAGAGCGCCAGCAGACAGACTCCGAGAGTCCGTTCTCGTCGCCTCATCTCTCTCCCACTCACGGGACGACCCGTGTGGGTGCGAGGGAGACAGAGCGGCGAAAACGACTCTCGGAATGAGCGTGTGGCAGCGCGGCGAGCGCGGCACTGGGGCAGCGGGACTGCATTCCAGCAAGCCGCGGCGCTGCCCCAGCCCCCTAAGCCAGCCTAGCCGCTCTAGCGCAATGCAAGCCAGCTTTTATTGGCAGGTCCGAGAGGTCCACTTCTGCCGGCCGGTTCCGAACGGACAGCGCCTTCGCTCTCTCTCTCTCTCTCTCGTTCCTAGTCCGATGGCAGGGGTAGGGGTGCGAGCGAGACAGAGCGACAACGAAAGCACTGTTGAGACAGCAGAGTGCGCGGCCGAGCGCGGTCGTGGTGCGAGACTTAGCCGCGCAGCAGCAGCAGTAGCAGGGCGGCTGGGCTTCCCTCCGATCGCCAGCGAGAGCGACAGGGAAGAAAACAAGAAAAAAAGAAGGAAACCACACACGTCCCGTTCCACTTGCAATCACTTGCAGCCGACACCGCCGCCGCCAGCAGTACTGGACTGATTCCGAGGCGTCGCTCTGTCTCTCTCGCACCCAAACGGGACGCCCCAAGAGTGCGAGAGAGACAGAGCGACGAAAACGACTCTCGGAATCAGTCTGCAGCGGCACGGACACGGCGTCGAACAAGCCGCGTGCCATTGTCTCCGGCAGTGCGTGCCGCGGTGCGTGCCGCGTGCGGCAACACGCTGCGCCGTATCACCGCGGAGCAAAACGGCGCCGAGATAACCGCATTTTAAATACAATGGCAAACGGCAATGGCCGGCCGGCCCCCCGACTTCCCCCGCATGTCGCACTTCGCACGAGCGTTGCCACCACCCGAACACCACTGCAAATCCATCGGTGAGTAAGTTTCCTACGTACTCCAGTGACATCCCGTTTTGAGAGCCAAAGTTCGGCCTTCTGAGCGCTAAATCGCCATCTGAGTGTGCGAAAATTTGGCCGCGCCCTGGATCAGCCTCCCTTCGTCCTAGCGGCGCGACAGCAGTGGACAATAGTGCCTAATTTCGCCATTCTTTGCACGGTTTGACGCAGCATCCGACGGCACAGTCACGACGAAAAACCTCCAAACCTCTCCCCGCAGTCGGCGGCAGCCCCGGGCAGCCCCGCCCTGCGGCGCATCTTTCAAGTTCCCGCAGTTCACCCGGCGTGGCGCGGCGGCGGCTGCACGTCGCTCCGTCTCCCTCGCACCCATTCGGAATGACCCACGAGTGCGAGAGAGACAGCGAGCGACGACGCCCCTGCTCGTTCATTCCGCCGCGCTGCATGGCCGGGACGCGGCGCCGCAACGCGCGAGCGAGACAGTCGCGGGGCGCGACCACATTCTCAAACCGATTCGCCAGATTCCGTCTGGCGCGGCACGCACGCGGCACGCGCACCGCACTGTCAGCGCCCCGCCTGGCCCCGCCCGCGCCTCGCCGAGGCCAACGACTTCCCCGCGCCGCGCCACCAACTCCGTCTCTCTCGCACTCGCGGGGGGTCCAGCCCTGGTGCGAGAGAGACAGAGCGACGAAACCACTGTTCGGAATCAGTCTCCCCGCGCCGCCCCACCACCGCCGGAGCTCGCTCCACCCAGCAGCAGCAAATCCAATCCAATCAAAGACAAAACGCGGCTCTGATGCAAATCCCGCACCCGTTTGACTCGGTGGCGACAAGCCAGGCGACGGACAGGCCATTGTGACCGGCAGGCAGGCAGGCCAGGCCGATGCCTGGACCGGTTCCGGCCGCGCCGCGCCGCGCAGGCAAAAGCCAGCAGACTGATTCCGAGAGTCGTTTTCGTCGCTCTGTCTCTCTCGCACTCATGGGGCGTCATTTGTAGGTGCGAGGAAGACAGAGCGACGGAAACGACGCTCGGAATCAGTCCGCAGCTGGGCGGGGCGGGGCGGGGGTGGGCGCGCTAGACGCGGAATGTAAAACTGGTAACGCGCGGCCAGGAGCGGCAATCGCTCGATGTCATCTCATTTCCCCGCCACCTCGCTTACTTTCCTTTTCCTGCGCGTGTGTGCCGAGCGATTGTCTGTCTGTCTGTCCGTCTGTCTGTTCGCCAGTGCTCGCGAGTGCAACGCGCGACGTATACGTCACAAAAATGCGGCATAGCAGACGGACTGCCGAGAGTCGTTTTCAAAGCCTTGTCTCTGTCGCACGCAAGGGACGTCTCCTAAAGGTGCGAGAGAGACAGAGCGATGAAAACGACTCTCGGAATCAGGCCGACGCCCTCCAGTGGCGCAAAACGTGCCAATCAGCGACACACTGCGACAGGGCGCACGCCTTGTCGCGTTACCTGAACCGACCTGAACTCAACTGTCGCTCACTCGGACTCTCTCGCACGCTTACGAGAAGCTCCACGAGCGCGAGAGAGTCAGAGCCAGCGACTCGTTCGGCTACAGTCCGCCGACAGCGCGCTGGCGCCCGAGGTCCACGTCGGCGGGCATGACCTATCAGCGCGCCATGCACCCACCCCGCGCACACCTCGGTGCACCGCGCCGCGCCGTGCCCCGCTCGCGGTGCGCTTGACCGGTCGGTCATAAACAATTTCTGCAGTTGCGCGCAAGAACTCCCTCCCCCCTGCCAGCGACATTCCCCCACCACTTGCGCAACAATAGGCGCCGCACGTCAAAGGCGGCCAAAGAGCCGGCCGGCAGCCCAAAAGCCACAAACCAGCGGCGGCAAGGCGGCAGACTGGTGCCCAAAGAGTCGTTTCCGTCTCTCTCGCACTCACGGGGCGACGGGGTCAGAGCGACGAAAACGACTCTCGGAATCAGCCCGCGGGCGGTCGTTCACACTCGAGCCGCCGAGTCTGGGGAGGCAGTGCCGGCACTGTTATGCCGCGCGGCCACGCGGCTACCGGGAGAAGCGGACATCGTTCGTCGAAGCGCGGCGCGACGACGCGGTGCCATAACGGCAGCGAAGACCTGGCCCCGCACAGTGGGCCAGAAGACCGCTGGAGGCGGTCAAAATCCCGGACGCTTTATGAGGTGCAGGGTCGCTAAATGGGACTCGAACCGAACGTGTGACCCCACCAATGGATTGCTCTCCGAACGAGGAAGGTGGGGTCACACGCTCAGTTCGGGTCCTGTTTAGCGACCCTGGAGCTCAAAACGCTTCTTGCGTTTTGGCCGCCTCCGCGGTCTTCTGGCCCACTGTGCCCCGCTTGGCCGCTTCGCCCCGGGCACCCAGGTGGGCCCCGGCGTCACACGCTGCCCGCTGCCCGCCACGCGGCTCGCCGCGCCACCGCGCATTAGGCCAGCGGCTCGTTCCAAAAGCCGGCCAGCCATGCAGCCAGCCAGCCAGCCGGCCAGCCAGCCAGCCAGCCATGCAGCCTGCCAGCCAGCCAGCCAGCCATGCAGCCTGCCAGCCAGCCAGCCAGCCAGCCAGCCAGCCAGCCAGCCAGCCATGCAGCCAGCCAGCACCGCTCTAAGGCCGCGACGGACTGTACTCGTTGCGCTAGGTCGGGTCGCCGCCAAATACCACTGGGATTCGCGGCAAAGGCCAGCAGCGCCTCTTCTCTGTCTCTCTCACACCTCGTACGGAACGCCCCGCGAGGGCGAGAGAGACAGCGCGACGAAAGGAGTGTTCGGACTCGCCGCTTGAAGGGGTCAGGTCATAACTAGATGCCACGCGCGCCGCGCGCCGCTCCGTTCCGCCCGGCCAGCCTGTGAACGTTAGCGACGCAGGCCGGCGCACAGTGGGCTAGAAGACCGGTGGAGGCGGCAAAAACTCCAGGCGCGTTTTGAGCTGCAGAGTCGCTAAAGAGAACTCGAACCGAACGTGTGACCCCACCAATGGATTGCTCTCCGACCGAGGATTCCATTGGTGGGGGGCAACACGTTCGGTTCGAGTCCTGATTAGTGACTCTGGAGCTCAAAACGCGTCTTGAGTATTGGCCGCCTCCACCGGTCTTCTGGCCCACTGTGCGGCGGCCGTCCTCCGCGCGCGGTTCGGTTCAGTCACGGGGGCGTCGCGGCGGCCGACGCACGCAGACGAGACGCCGCCGACGCCCGTCCGTCAGCCGCCCGATTCCGAAGGTTCCTTTCGTCCGCTGTCTCTCTCGCACTCATGACGCGTCATGCGGGGGTGCGAGAGAGACAGAGACAAT